ATAACTTTCGATGTATGTTGCCTTATTAAGGGATATTGGAGTCTCTGGGTCTACCCTGCCGCCCCTTAAACTCTGTCACTTGCCACGTTTGAAAGTTGAAGTATGCTTAAGGCATCGGGCTTAGGGTTTCGGGCTGCGCGGGTTGACGCCCCACACCCTTACCGACCCTACATCTTTCCTTGCATCTGAAGCCGAGTTGAAGTGGCCAAGCTGCAAAGTTCGTCGGGAAAGGCAGAGCACCATAATCCGCTGATGCGCACCACATTCAGTAAATGAGGTTGAAACAAGACGAGGGTCTTTGAGGCATTCTTACCTACAGTTGCAGACACGATCCCAGACAGTATCTGGGCTGTCTTCCTACGGGCCGCGGAGGGCCTGTCCCTGGGCATGGTGTATGCTGGTGGTGATCGGGGGTGCTGCTGCCGCTGCTCCTAACCGTGGTGCGTTGTGGTTTGGTGTGCTGACCAGGATCCTCCTGCAGGTACTCGGAGGACCAGGGGAGTTAGCAAGGAAGCTTGGGAATACCTTGATCGGGGCTATGAGTAACTATACGTATGGTTACCGAGATGAACAGGTTGATGCTTTTTTGGTAGTAGGGCAGAACTCTTGTCTCCCTTCATTTTTGCTGTGCGAATGCTAGCGAAAGCTCACGCTGGGAACCGATGCCACGCAGCGTGTACCCGAGCACTCATGTAACCATGGTGGTTGCAAGAGAGCAGCCGACAAGATAAGGGTGGCGTTTCTGGCTCTTGAATCCCACCAGGTGTGTAGAATTGGTAGAGATTAGATTAGATTTAGATTAGATGATGATGAGCCATATCGCAAGCTTCTCTAGTTCACACAATATGATGCAGATCTAAAATCCAAGGGTAAAAGGAGGGACCCTTAATAAGGACCCCTAGGTATATACCCTTAATATAGCAAAAAAGATAGCCATTATGTAGCCCATTATAGGGTAGGGGTCCCCCTTAAGGGTCCCTCCTTTTCCCTTTGATACACCCTAGACCCTAAACCCTTTATAGAACCCTTATAGATCCCTTTAAGGAGCCATATAGAAGGGTCCCTCCTTTTCCCCTTTGATAAAAGATCCAACTGCATAGAAGGGCCAAGATCCAGGGGCTCAATTCTTACAAGTGCCACGACAAGGGAGTTTCCGAAAACTAGGTGTACCTTATTTTGGGGTCCTTATAATAAGGATCCTACTATTTAGGGTACTATATTAGGGTCCGTTATTCTCGGAAACTCCCACAAATGTAGGAACCCACTTTTATTTGGAAACCCTGGGCCTATAACCCCAAAACAATAGGATTCATATTTGGGTGCTTGCCAAAATTATGGTCCCTTTTCGGGTCCTGCGTGTAATACGGCACCTAATATTTAGGGTGCCCAAAAAGGGGCCATAATTTTGACAACTATCCACATAAGGAACCCTAGTAAATGCCCAAGGTTTCTTAATCAGGTTCCTACATTAATTTCCCTTGTTATCATTATTGAGTATATATTTTGACAACCACCCATATAAAGCCCTTTCAGTATCCACTATAGATCCCTTTAAGGAACCCTTTAACGGAATCCCTATTGAGATTACATGAAGACCCCTAATTTTGACAACCACCCCTGAGTATATATTGTTTAAAGAACTTTAAGGACAAGGGTCCCTAAACAATAAACCCTTTATAGAACCCTTGCAGATCCCTCTAAGGAGCCCCATGTAACATTAATCAGCCTTATTATCATAATTGAGTATGTATTCTTTAAAGAACTTTAAGGAAAAGGGTATTGAGTATATACTGTTTAAAGAACTACGTTAACCTTATTCTCATTAATAAGTACTGTTTAAAGAACTTTGAGGATAAGGGTGAGAATGAAGCTGGGTTTTTGCACTGCAGAGAATCGAGCTCTGTCGAAATTGTAGTGCTCGGACGACTGCTGTTTCGGAAGTTTATCACGTCATGCGTGCTCAGCTTCTATCTATGGCCCAGAAGCACATGTTTCAAGCGGCTGAAAGCCCAACATGTGAATACCTACTTGGAGGTTCATGGGACTTAGTAAGTACAGTTATAAGAACCATAACTGGGGTTATAACCAATTATAGCTATAGTTACCTTGTTTATGACCACAGTTACTAAGTCCCATGAACCTCTAAGGAAGGTTCTACAAGAACACAAACTTTCAGGTTTCGCTCCATCTCTTCCCCGACGTCTGTAGTTTACGGGTGTGGAAGTAAGGTAGTGTACGACGAAAACTATGTGCTACTTGTAGTCGCCACAACTCAATGTTTCTTTGAGGCCTCTGAAAGGGAACGTCTCAGAAACGGGACATCGGACATGTCCGACAGCAGCAGCAGCAGCAGCCGCAGCAGTGATAGCAGTTGTCGTTGTCGTCGTCAAATGGCAGCGGCAGCGGCTGTGACCGACCCTTTACACTCCTGCGAGTTACAAAAGCTGCTTGGCACCTTCCAATCACTTCCTCCAGCCATAATGGGCGGATCTTCCAAACATCCTCAGTATTTCTGGGAGGGGGTGAAACCATACACACTAGTTGCAATACTAGCAGCAGTAGCAAGGTTAACAATAATGACAACAGCAGCAACGACAACCACTGTGCTGATAGCACGGCGGACACTGTAACAGCAGCACCCGTAATCTTCACTTTAAAGTCAACGATCCTATGAATAACCTTGGTGGCAGGCGTCGTAATTGCCGTAGTAGTGCTTCTTCAACTGCTGCTGCTACTGCTACTCTGATGCTGCTACTGCTACTGATACTACCACTTCTTCTGCTTCTACTTCTACCACTACCACTACTACGACTGCGACGATGGCAGTATCAAACTTCAAGTCAGGCCAGGCCTGCAAGAGGCTCTTTGTGACCTCCTTGTGGCCTCCAACTGCTGCCCAAAGGAGGGGAGAGAAGCCCTGCTCCTGCTCCGTCCGCGTGGCTCGTTTTGGCTTTGGCGGTTTAGAAGCTAAGTTAGGTTATAAGTACCTTAATTGGGGTTATAAGTAGTTGTAAGTATGGTTACCTTAATTTTGGCGGTTTAGAAGCTGCAAGAAAGGTAGGGGGTCGGTTATTATCAAGTCTTCATTGAGGTTCTTGAAAGCTCTTGTATTGATGGACGTTGATAGGGGTTCGTAAAAGGCCGTTGAGCATGCAGGCAGAAGTGCTTTCGTGACGGTCATGTGGGTTTAGGGTTTAGTGCTCAGGCTCAGGCTTGGGGGTTGCACATCTGACTCGCTGCATGCTTGCAGCCATGCAGGGCCAACACGCATGTGGGCGAGGGCTAGGCTCGAGACATGAAGAATGCACCCTGGAATGGGAACGTAGAACTATAGACCGCCTGAGCATATGCTATGTGCGGTCAATGCTGCCTTTGTCCTCTGCGCGATGCTGGCGCCACCTCACTCGGGTCAGAATTGGGCGGAGTTAGCGGTATGTGCATGTATGTATGTGTGTAGCAACTCCCGGCTTGCTCAAAGGACCAGTGTATGTCGTGTACCATCATTGCTTTTGGGTTTGAGCAAGCGTGTGATGTCGGGCGGGAAACGCTGAGAAGGTCCTGGCCAACGCAGAACTTGTCTATACACCCCTTGGGTTTTGAATGAACAAAAATGATAAAAATGATTCCTAAGGAGACGAGAGTTGCGTTTGTGACATTATACCTGCAAAGGGGATCTTGTTCCTGCGCCCCATATGGACACCTGGGTCTTCACAGGTCATGTCGGTCAACCGCGACAGATTCCTTTACAACTGCCGGAGCACTGAATTCCCAAGTCTTCCACGGAAACCACGGTTTCTCGCTTGCCGCCGAGTGCTGAAGGGATTCAGTCAGTCTCTCTGCCTGCCTGTCCTTGTGTGTGTGTGTGTGTGAGCGTGTTTTGGTGTCTTGTCCGTCTCCGTGTTCCACTCACGACTGGACGGCCCAATTTTCTCCCGTCCGAACACGACACCAGCCCAACTACTTTGGAAACAGAATCTCCTATCTCCTTGCGCTTGCACCGACTTCTTGTGAGCCCTAAACCCTAAACCCTTATAGTAAACTCCATAAAGTTGGAAACCGGATTACTCTTAACGATTGAGGCTATTGGGTTTCCAACTTTTTGGCTTCTACTGTAAACCCTCAAACCCTAACCCCCCCCTAAAACCCCCAAACTCCGGGAAGGCCGGTGGTTAATGCTCACCTGAAGATGCCACCAAGCTCCACCAAAAGGTCAAACCATTACGGCGGTTAGAAGAACTTAGATGCCCACATAATCAGACCGAGGCTTCGAAGGGTGGTGTATAGGGTTTAGGGTTTAGGGGTTTAGGGTTTAGGGGTTTTAGGGTTTAGGGTTTAGGGGTTTAGGGTTTAGGGGTTTAGGGTTTAGGGTTTAGGGGTTTAGGGGTTTAGGGTTTAGGGTTTAGGGGTTTAGGGTTTTAGGGTTTAGGGGTTTAGGGACAGTACTACAATTCTTCTTTTCTAGCTTCTGCTACTCTTACTATTACGATTACGGCTATTATTACGATTGCTATCAAAGCTCATGTGCTCATGTACTAAGTACCAATGTATAGACAGCAACAAACCACTCCTGAAAAAGCCACCGAGCATGAACCCCTGTAAAATCCAGTCATGGACAAAGTATTCGGCGACCTCGACCCCCCAAGCCCAACAAGTATTCTTACTTGTAAAATATCTGTTTAGGGCTTAGGGTTTAAGGGTTCAGCGGTTTAGGGTATAGCGTTTTGGAGTTTAGGATTTTAGGGTTCAGGGTTTTAGGGTTTAGTATCCTAGGGGAACTGAAAGTTAGCGTTTGAGATTACATAATCGGGGTCATAATAGCCCGGCCTGCTACTAGAATATTTCTGCCCATCCCTTCCAGTTCTATTAAGATGTGAAGTAAAAACACCTTAGCCTTCTGGACTATGTATGCATAGGGCCAAAGTTGTTCAAGGTTACCTGTTATTCCCTAAACCCTAAACCGACTCTTATACAGCCCCTATATAGAACCATTTCAAAGCCACCCAGCCACCCACTGTACTTCTAAGCATGCGACGGGCCATGAGCATCTCCATTGCCTTGCGGGCTTTACGGATGGGTGGGTAGGGATATGCGGGTTTGGGGGAAGATTCAGTGGTTTTAGGGAACATGGCGGGTTTAGGGTTTGAGTGGTTTTAGGAGGGCTTTAGAAGGGGCTTGTAGGCTTGTGCAAGTGGGGAAAGGGTTACCCCCATAGGCTAAAACCCCCTTTTAAGGCCTCCTATGACAGGCGGGATAGGAGTCTGGGCCCTGAGCGGCTCCGAGCGAGGTCGGCTCACCCTACAGCGGTCATGTCTTTGCTGTTCTTCTCAGAGAACCCAATATCCCTTAATTAAGGAATATAGCTTAAATCATAATATGAAGCCCCTCATAATTTAATGTATATTCCTTAATTCAGGTGTATTGGGCTCTCTGGGTTCCCTTAGGTTCTTTTGCCTCGGCGCTGGATTCCAGAGTCTTTGTTTTGGGGTCGAGGTAAATGAAACCTACCTGCGAAATACCGATGATAAGCTCCCAAGGCGCGACAATTTGTCCAAAACTTACCTGGCGGTTTGAGGGTCCATAAACTCGGATCAATGGGTCTAGAAGCCCTAAGAATGGGGTTGTATGGGTTTCTAGGATGCCCAGTAGCCTAGAAATAAGGAACCTAGGACTACAAAAAGGGAACAAGGGTACTACTCCTAGGTTTAAGTTTCGGTGGTTTCGAAGCCCCAAACGCACGGAAGCGGCCTGAACATGGTTGGACTTGGCGCAGAGAACCTGAGCCGTGATCGAACATCGACATTGAGCCCTAGAACCCCCCGTAGATGGGAGTTTCAGAAAATGGGGGGACCTTAATATAGTACACTAAATCGTAGGATTCTTATTATAAGGACCCCATAAAATAAGGTACCCCTAATTTTCGGAAACCCCCCGTAGATCCTAACCCAGAACCCCAAGCCCCGAGGCCGAATCCCTGAACCCATGAACCATAGGGATCCTTAGGGGTGTAGGGGGAGGGGGGGTAGGGTTTAGGGTTTAGGGTTTAGGGTTTAGGGTTTAGGGGGAGGGGGGGTAGGGGGCCTTAAGGCCCATAATAAGGACTAATAAGGCCTATTTAAGGAAATATAGTCCCCTACACCCCTCCCCCCTACACCCCTAAGGATCCCTATAAATGAACCCTAACCCCTAACCCCTAAAGCCCTTAAGCCTAAACTCTCTAGATCCCTCTAGGGGAAGCCTTATAGACCCCTTTAAAGGGAACCCCCTAAAAAAACCCCCAAGCTCCTTAAACACTGAAGCCCCCGCACACTCCCGAAGTTCAGGGTGAAGGCACACCATTTTCTGATTAATACTATGATTATCATTATTGTTATAAGGTCCATACTGTTTTCTTATAAATAATATTCCTATCATAGTAGTATCATTATGAGGGTTATTCTTCTTCTTATCATGCTTGTTTCGAAGGTTTAGGGTTTTAATAATATTGTCATTATTATTATTGTTATTAGTGTTTAATGAAAGCGTCCCTACTGTACTTGGAGGTTCACGGGACTTAGTAACAACTTGAAACAAGGGGATCTTTTCTGAGAACTGCTTACAGCCACCCTGAATCTCCAGTCCCCCGAAACCCTAGCTAACCCCTCAGCCCCAAATCCTAAACCCTTGACAGAAGCCCGAAGAAGCGGTTGCAGGAGCAAGTGGACCCGGAGAATTTGTTTGCGAAAGGCCGCCGGGTGGCAACGGGCATTTTAACTGGGGAACGAAGGATATCGTGCCACGGAGCCCTGCGGAAAAAAACACATCAGGCTTTGTACTAGTTGCTGCTAAACCCTAAACCCTCAACCCTCGCCACGGCACCAAAGGGGTGTTGCCCTCCTCGTCCGGAATATCGGGCCTAGCGGCTCGGAGCAACCGAATCTCTTCATGAGGTTGAGTACAGGTAAGAAGAGTTGGCAGAAGTTAGCTAGCTGTGGACTTGTCAAACAAAGGCTATCTGTGATAACTGTAGTAGTTGTGTAGTGAACAGAATGAAGAACACGACGAGGAGCAAGCTGAGGAATAACAACGAACAAGACGAGCAGACGAAGACAAACGTGCAGAGAATCGTCGCAAAGCCTTTTATCTGCAACGGCTCAAAGAGAACCTGACGTCCTGCACTTGAGAGTTGACCCTAAACCCTAATCCCTAAACCCTAATCCCTAAACCCTAATCCCTAAACACTAAACCCGACGCCCCAAGCCCTCTCCCCTAAAGCCCTGCCGGGCCCAAGCCCACTTGGAGGCTCATGGGACTTAGTAAGTAAGGCTCCTTAAAGGGTTCCTTAAAGGGATCTATAAGGGATCTATAGGGTTTCTATAAGAGTTCTATAAGGAGGATCATGGGACTTAGTAAGTAAGGTTATAAGTACCTTAATTGAGGTTATACGTAATTATAAGTATGGTTACCCTATTTATAACCCCGATTACTAAGTCCCATGATGCTTTAAGCAACCAGGAAGCAAAGCCAATAACTTCAAGCCTGGAACTTTCCGTGGCCACAAGGAATCATGAAAGCGGTGAATCTCACGAAGACAGAGTGCCGAAACTTTTTACATGTGTGTATATATATATATGTATATCCAGCGACAGACTGCGGAATGCTCTATGCCCTTGGAGCACTAACCATGGCAACAAAAGACAACTTCTTCGTTCTACCACTACTCCTATTTCTCCTGTTGCTGCAAGCCCCGGCAATGTAATCAATCACCACATCCATGATCATTGTGGCAAACATAGCAACACATCGTTGCCTCATTCACGACCAAAATGGCGAAACTTTAGCGTCCTCACTCTTACCCTTATCAGCAACAGCACAAACCAGGTAGCTAAGTTGAACCCTAACATACGGGCCTTAATGATGAGAAAAGCATTCTTGGATATGTTATACTACAATACAAATTCTAATCGGGACTACAAAAGGTCGCGTAACTGACTAATTATATGGGGTTCTACATTCAAACCCCCCCCAATGATAAACTGTCAACCCTAAGCCCTGAATCCTGCCAGGAGCCCTGAACCCGAAATTCCCCGGCGCCTGGCTTTCTGCTTCAGCAGCCATTCCATTAGCCCCACTTCCCCTTTGTGTGCAGCGAAGTGCAGCAACCTTGCAGTGCGTTTGACGGGCTATGTGGCCTCTTGGGTATCTTACAGGCCTCACCGGGTAAAGGAGAATTAGGCAGCCGAATTCAAGTATGCCTTGCAAGACGTGGGACTTGACAGGGCTTCCAGAAACTTCAACCCCCTTGGGTAGGCTCCAAACATCAATATGACCCTTGGCATACTTTAAAACGACATCATGGCACTTACAACCCACTCCTTACAGGTTATGCCTAACCGACCCGCCATATTTACCCTCTTCGTGGGGCTTTGGGCTACTGCTGCACCCTACCTAGAGGCATGAATATGCTTCTGCTTAAGCACCCCACCCAAATCTGGCACCCGAAACCCCAAACCCCCATCCCCTAACACCCTGAATGCCAAACCCAATCCCCCTTCATTCACAAACCACCGGAAGGATCGGAAGCTCATCCGCTGTTCTGACATTGGCTTCCCTTAGAGTACCCCTATAGATCCCTTAAAGGGACCCTTAACTGCTTACTTACTAAGTCCCATGATCCTCGAATTACTATAGGGGCCTTAATAATTAGAATTGGGTTTTGGGGCCCATTATACTGTTAAGTATAACATGGAAACCCCAAAATAGTATAGGCAATTATTCAAGTCCCTATGGTAGCTGGGCTTTTAAGTAACCAGGGAGAAAAAAGTGTACACTTTTATTTCATGATGGCTCCATTAAGAAAAATATTAAAGTATGGCACTCCAAAGTCCAGGTAGAGGGAACTCTCGGATTTCTTAACCCCTAAACCCTTTAGATGCCTTGTAGATCCCTTAAAGGAACCCCAGCTAGATCCCGGAGAGGATCCTTCAGTGCGTCTTTGGGGAACCCTCGGATTTCCATTCTCTCCGAGCGCCGGACCCCCAGCTCCAGGTCTCCTCCTGCGCCTCAGAAAAGCGCTCAGACTTCAAAAAAGGGCCTTCATACGGCTGGTGATATAAATCCTGCATTAACCACCATAAGGAATATACCATAATTCCCATAGTTTAAGGTTCTTAAGGTAATGCAGGATATATATCATCAACAGTAGTACAGGAGCCTTAGTAAGTACCTATACGACCTTTAAGGGGATCCTTAAGAGTTCCTTACAACTCCTAAGGAGACTAGAGCAGAGAGCTCAGAACCCCAGGGTTTTTGGATTTTTTTGTCGGGCCCCTTTAAGGGATCCTTGAAGCTTTAGGGGATCTTATTACGGGTGCATTTAAAGGCTTACTATATAAGGGCTAGTTTCGGATCTTCAAGAGTTCCTTCAAGGGATCTATGAGGGATCTGTATAAGGTAAAGCGTGGGATTGCTGTGGACATCTGGAGGACGTGGCCTCGAGTACCTTCGATACTCGGGGAAAGTGCTGCCGGCAGTATTGGAGACTGTACAGTTTACGGAGTATGGCCAGAATTACTACATGCTCTTCAGTTGAGCCTGAACAGCAAAGCTGTCACCACCAGAGTTGGCCTTGCCCCAAGTTACGACCGATCCGTCACCAAGGATGGCAGCACAAGCGTTGTAATTGCCTTGGATCTGCTGCACATTCTTCAACTGATCCTGCACGGCACTGCTGTCACCACCACGCTCAGCATCACCCCAGGCCACGACGGATCCATTGCCAAGAACAGCAGCAAAACCGCGGCCGAAGGATTGGATCTGCTGCACATTCTTCAGCTGATGCTGCACAGCACTACTGTCACCACCAAAGGCGGAGTCAATAGCACCCCAGGTCACCACGGAGCCATCCCCGCGAACGGCAGCAAAAGCGGCGTGAGAGGCTTGGATCTGCTGCACATCCTTCAGCCGATCCTGCACAGCATTTCTGTCAACACAACCAAAGCCGAGACCACCCCAAGTTACAACCGAGCCATCGCCGAGAATGGCAGCAAAATCGTAGTGAGAAGCTTGGATATGCTGTACGTTCTTCAACTGATCCTGTACAGCACTAGCGTCCCCGCCATAGCCAGCAGGACCCCAAGCCACAACGGACCCATCGCTCAGAAGGGCAGCAAAGGCGCCGCAGCGAGAGGCTTGGATGTGCTGCACATTCTTCAACTGATCCTGAACCGCCTGGCTGTCACTGCCAGAGTTGAAACTTCCCCAGGTCACCACAGATCCATCACCAAGAATGGCAGCAAAAGCACCCATGGTGGCTTGGATCTGCTGCACGTTCTTCAGCTGATCCTGCACAGCACTACTGTCACCACCACTTCCAGCATTGCCCCAGGTCACAACGGATCCATCACTAAGAATGGCAGCAAAGGCACTGTCAGAAGCTTGGATCTGCTGCACATTCTTCAGCTGGTCCTGCACGGCACTACTGTCCCCACCAGCTTCATCATCACCCCAGGTCACGACGGTGCCATCGCAACGAATGGCAGCGAAAGCACAGAACGAGGCTTGGATTTGCTGCACGTTCGTCAGCTGAGCCTGTGCAGCAGTGCTGTCGCCACCAAAATTGGCATAACCCCAGGTCACGACAGATCCATCGCCAAGAATAGCAGCAAAAGCACGGTCATTGGCTTGGATGTGTTGCACATTCTTCAGCTGATCCAGCACAGCACGGCTGTCACCACCAGCCTCTTCATGACCCCATGTCACCACGGATGCATCTTCCAGAAGGGCGGCAAAAGCGTTACTCGTGGACTTTATCTGAAGTCTTTTCATGAACAAAGTCAGCGAGGTGCCATCTATCACACTGGCACTCTTAAGCGGTAACAGTACATCCAGAGGGTTTCCAGATGAGTCGAGAAGCTGCCCCCTCCCAACTCCAAGTGCGGCCTGTGCCCGGAGATTCAACGCTCCAACTTCTTCAGTCAAGCCGGCTGTCACGGTAGCTGTCTTACCACTGAGTAATCCAACTGTCACGGTAATCGACGTATCGCTGTTCATGTCATGGGACTTGGGTGGCACCCTTGAAACGCAAAAAATGTTTGGAGCCATGAACCCAAAGACTCCAATATCCCTTAAGTAAGGAATATTCCTGAAATCATATCGGGATCCTACGCAAAGGGAACAAAACCCCGTACAACAGGTGCTTTGAGAATCCAAAGATGTTTTAGGGATATAGCATTAAACTATACTTAAACAGCTTATCAGACGATACATGCTCACAAACAATATGGTTCTACAGGGGAAAACTATTCGTGATCATTCCGAAGCCCATACTACAGGTGCCCCACGCTTGCTCGCCCTCCCGTTTGAGCGCCCCGCGTTCACGCCGAGCCCTGCTGGCATCTGCCCAAGCTTTCGCAAAGAGACCTGCGCAGGGTTTAGGCTTTGAAGGGCTTGGGGGTTCATGGGACTCAATAACTAGGGTTATAATTAAGGTAACTACACTTATATGCACTTATAATCCCAAGTAGGGTACTTATATCTGTACTTGCTAAGTCCCATGAACCTCCAAGTAAGGGGGAGATCTTTCGAGTCATACTTAGAGGATCCAGGGTTTAGGGGAGACCTAGTAGCTCAGGACGTGTAAGGAAGGTCTGCTTGCTTTGACTTCCTGTAATCCTAAAAAAAGTACTGGTAAACTTACTAAGGTGAGTTCTATGACTTCCTGTAACCCTAAAAAAGGTACAGGTAAACTTACTTGCTAAGGTGAGTTGAAGGATTTGGGGCCGCACTACAGCAGTGGCTTCAAGCCCCTTTCATGCCTTGTGATAAGAATTCAGGGTTTAGGGGCTTAGGGGTTTAGGGTTGGGGGTTCAGGTTTTAGGGTTCAGTCGGACAACGCAATATCAAGAATGCCAAGCCCTGCAGGGCAACTCACTATTCCTTAAACCTTGAACCCTAAAGAGTATACTATACCCTAGGCCTTCAAAGGTTCTACGCTACTCATGTTTAGCCTTAAACTTCCCTGATTTCTTCCCTCCGAAGGCACATTCGAAAGCATGCCATGAACCCTGAATGACTGAGCCAACGACTCCAATGTCCCGTAGTTAGGCAATATACCTTAAAGGGCTCCTCAAAGGGATCTATCAGGGCTCTATAGGTGATTAAGGTATATACCTTAAGTTATAGTACGATCCCTAATATGATGTACAGTATGTTCCTTAATTATGTAAGGGATATTGGCCAGACCTAAGAGTACCCTAGGAATGAACAGGGTGCCCTTTTTGTTTTAAAGGGGGTTGTAAGGGAACCTAAACCATAAACACGGGAATAAGGGCCTACTCTGGGTCCTAGGTACCGTTCTAAGTTACCCTTAGTGACTAAGTCCCAAGAGACTTAAAACCCTAAGCCGTCCCGTCTAAGGCCCTTATAGGAAACCTACTACAGAACCCTAGAGCACCCCTAAAATTGCGAGAGGACACGGGGGTTCCGAAAATAGGGGATCCCAATATGATACTCTAAACAGTAGGATCCTTATTATCAGGGCAAACCTATAACTTTCCTGCTAAAGCCTTTTCAAAGGAACATCTAGCACCCTTATAGAGACCTATACGAAGCTGTTCAGTAACCTGCTGGGAAGGGTATACACCTCTTTGGGTTGATATACTCTTTACAGTATTATACTAGTAACGAATACAAAAGCAACTGAACAAGAATACCACTGAAGATCCTCGTGCAACTCCATGCGAGACCTTTGCTGCTTTCTGTGACTAGGATACCCAGTAACCTAAGACTAAAAAGGCCTCTCTTTTTGGTATTGGATAACTTTAATAAGGAACCTAGGACTACAAAAAGGGAATAAGGGTACTACTGGGCATCCTAGTAATGATAAATATAGTGTAATGGGCCCCAAAACCCTGTTTCAAATATTAAGGCCCCTAAATCATAGTAGCCCTTATAGTAACCCTTTAAAGGAACCTTGCTGCTTTCTGTGAGGTGGGGCCTCTGCCTTCTGAAAGAGCCCCGACCGCAACAGCCGGAACAGCGACGTCCTCGGTCTACGGTTTAGGGTCTAGGGTTTAGGGTTAGGGTTTAAGGTAGGTTCTGAGCTCTTGAGGCTCTTACGGTTTGGGAGTCTGAGAAAATTAGGGGTACCTTATTTTGGAATCCTTATATTAAGGTTCCTATTTGGGGCCTGGGATGTAGGGTTTAGGGTTTATTCAAGGGTTTAGGGCCTTAGGGTTCCGAAGCCTAGGGGCAGAGGCCCCAAAGAATCCAACATCCCTAAACTAAGGAATACAACCTAAGTTATATTGCGGATCCTACTATATATGTATATATAAATACACATGTATATATATACACATATATATAATTTAAGGTATATTCCTTACTTAAGGGATACTGGAGTCCCTCAACCCTAGACCCTATAGATCCTTTGAAGGAACCCTGGCTTCCGTTCACTGGCACAGCGAAACAATTTGATGGGAGGCCAAAATGGGGTTTAAGATTCTTGGGGGTGTAGGGTTTAGGGCTTTCGGGTTTTAGGGTTTAGGATTAGGGTTTAGAGGGTCTATGTAGGGTTTAGGGGTTTGGGGTTTAAGATTCTTGGGGTACGGATTCTTTAATATGAGCCCTATTGTGGGAACCCTAATCCCTCTGGCCTCCTATGACAATTGTTGCGGTCTGCGGCCGCCACGGGTGTGGCAACACAGGGGCCTCGGCCTTCAAATTCCCTCCCCCCCCCTCCCCCCCCTCCCCCCCCTCCCCCCCTCCCCCCCTCCCCCTGTGCCGATACACCCCCAAGGAATACTCCTTGTGAGGAGGTGTATGACCAGTTATTCCCTAAGGATCAAAGGGCAGCGCCCTGCACACGGACAGTAGTTGTTTTGTCTTGCTACGCAAGGAGAGCTTGTCTTGTCTCAATATGGTAAAACCACTGTGAGCCAATGGGCAGCGGAATGTATATGTATGAGCATGCAGCCATTGCTGTAGGTACCTGTTAGAGCTACCCCTTTAGAGGTTTATGGTTTCAAACAGACACTAATTTTCTTTTACCGGAAGCATG